GGAAAGGGCAAGCTGATGAAGAAGTACCCAAAAAGAAAAAGAAGAAAGCAGCTAGTGACCTGGAGAAGTTGCCAGGCAGCAAGGAAAAGAAAAAATCAGCTAAAAGTAAGCATCCCTCACTTGGGGCTGCATTTGCAATACGTTCTTGCGGCTGATGCACTTTCAGCCTCTGATGCGGGGCCTTGTAAGTAGCACCCACTTTTCCCTTAGCTTCCTGCTTGGCTACTTCCCTCTCGGCCCACCCAAAGCCAATGCCAGATTTCTAACACCCCACTTCAGTGTTTTTCTGCAGTCTCAGCAACAGGTCATGTTGCAGACAGCAAGCTGGGCTCTCCTGCCCCTCTATCCTGCGTCCGGCATAGCGGGAACTGTTAATACTCACGCTGATCCTTGCTGCTTGCAGAGCAAGCTGATGTCCCTGTGCATCTTCTATGGCATGACCTGTCCCTCCAGGGCTTTCTCCTTTCCCAGCCTTTCTCCTGGCTGGAAGCAGCTGTCTAGCTGAGAGCTGGCAGAGGGTTGAGGTGAGTCTGCGTTGAAGCTCCTGAGGCCTCTTTGCCCCCGTCACGTGGCCTGCCTGCCTGCGCTGGGCTCGGGAGAGTTCTCGCTAGTTGTAAGCCACGAGGCCTGTGTGCTGCCTGCTGCATGGTGCCCTGCTCTGCATCTGCAGCGCAGAGCAGCTCTGCTAACCCAGCTGGCTGCCCTGGCTCCTCTGTGGCAAATGCAATGTGCGCTGGCAGAGAGCTAAGGTGAAATGTGGCTGTGGGTGGCAGGCAGAAGGTCCCTGACATGCTGTGGGCATGGCAGAGGAAGCCCAGCGTTCATGTGCTCAGGGCTTTGTGTTAGTCAGAGCTTCCCAAACATGGCCCCATGCTGCCAGCCTCTTTAAAAGAGATCAACCTTGAAATCCACACTGTCATCTGCCGTATCAGCCGCTGCTGCTCCCCGTGGGGCGACAGTGCCCCTTCCTGACCCTGCCTGATCAGTGCCTGTGCTGCAACATGGTGAGCAGCTCATTCAATAGATTTGACTCGGGGCTGTTACTGCTGCTTTCAAACCCCCTGGAAAAAGAGGAGGATGGTACCAGCCTCCTGCTCGTTGCTCCCAATTAAGAGTGTTTGCTGCCCTTCTTGTCTGCACGCCTCTGTAATGCTCTGATTGCTGCCCTAATGCAAAGGCAATTTTTTTTTTTTTTTTTTAAAAAGGAGATGGAATGGGTGGGCCAGATCTGCCGGGGTTTCTGTTCCACAGAGATGCAGCCCTTCGTTTTGGAGGAGACAGACAACTGTTGGCCCTTGTGTGGGCTGTTGTACAGGGGTGAGCTGGAGCCTCTTGGAGCAGTTGTGCTGAGCTGAACCTTGTGTCCATCCTCTCTTAGTAGCTCCCCTTGCTCTGATTTCTGGCATGTGCCTGGCTACTCCAGCACTGAGGCAGTTCCTTGACGTGGGTGGGCAGCAGGAGGTGGAAAGAGGGGGATCCTATGTAATTCTCCCTCACGTGTACATGGATGGTGGGATCAAACCACTCAGAGGTACCAGAGAAACAGCCCTGGGTACAGCTGCCTTGTAGCAGGACTCTGCCCTCACCCAATTTCTGCTCTGGAAAGCTTGCTCAGGTTTGGATGTGATCAAAAACTTACTGGAGATGCTCCTACTGCTCTGTGCTCCATCTCAGAGGGTAGCAATACCAGAGTCCATCTCATAGTTGACTTTTCTTTCCCTCTCCCAGAAAAAAAGTCAGGAAAAGAAAAGAAGAAGAGCAAAAAGGTGTCTTCAGAAGGGGAGCCTATAGCAGATGGTTCTGCTGAGGTTCACAAGAAGAAGAAGAAGGTATGTGCAAGACCCTGGGATGGGGTACCATGGGGAGAGCTGTTCTGAACCGCAGTTGTGACACTCATCCCTGCGGCGTGCCAGGCTGGAGAGGAGCAGAGCTGTGTCCTGGCCTTGCTGGCAGTACAGAGGAGGCTGCAGTTAATTGTGGCTAGACGCCCTGACCTTTGGTTGGTTGGGATTGGGGTGGCTCGAAGAAGGGCTTGTTCCTGTATCACTCCCCCAGGAGAGATCCATTTCCCTGGAAGGGTCCAACCCAGGGGCCCTTTTCGTGGCAGAGAACCTGCCCAAGAAGTAAGTGCTCTTCTTCAGCTGTCTGTTCATCTAGTCCTTTTCAGCAGAAACTGGAGCTCCTGAGGGCTTGGCAGTCTACTGCATCCCATCCCAAGGGCTAGGAAGGGGGCAGAGGGAGACTATAGGATGCTCCTTGTGATGGATAATGTCCCTGTAGAGATGGTAGTCAAGAAGCCTCTGTGGCTTGTGGCTCTGCTGGATCCTTCATGTTTGTGGTGCAAATGATACTGATTTATTTTTCACCCTTTTCTTTTTAGAAGAAGAAAACAGCTGAGCCTGAAGGATTGTGAGAAGGTACATGGCCTGTGGGGACTATCAGTTGGTACCTCTGAACGGCGGTAACCTTGGCCAAAATCCTGGGGCAGTCTTGGGAAGACAATGTGCCCTCTAAATGCTCACTGAGTCAGCCTGGCCTTAGATTAGAGGGCCAGGGAGTGGAGCGATGTAAGGAAAGTCATGCAGCAGCGTGCTGGCTTCTCTGGATGTTTGACCTCAACTCTTTAGCTGCTGAGAACTGGATGTCCAGCCTGGACGTTGCTGTCCTCTGTCATCAGCAGAGATATGCGGCCTCTGGCAGTGTCTGTCTGTCCCTGCTGACCACAGGGAGCTTGGAAAATTAATGTGGATTAGATGGCGATGTTGTAGCCACCTGGAAGTGGACCAGATGACTCTGCCCTTGCTCTGCTCAGCTGTAAGGCCATTCTCCTCCTCCCCATCCCTAACTCTTAACTCCTCTCCCCAAAGGTACCGCATCCCTGTGATTAAGGATTTATGGGTGAAGATCAAACAGAAGAGAGGAAAAGGAAGCTCATCAGGAGAATTCCAACTTTTTCTAAAAATAGTAATTTATAACTTCTTTTAACTGTGACTTTTAGAGCAGAGCAGTGTAACTTTCTGCCTCCTACTGCCCTGCGGGGGGCCCAGAGATATGTTTATTGTCCCTCCCAATGGCTCCTCTGTTGCACAAGAACTGAGCTGAAGGAGGCAGTTTGACCAGAGAAGAGCCAGCTTGCATAAACTGCTTTCCTTCTAGTTGACACCCAGCCATCTTTCTCTTTCTCATCACAGAGCTATATTTTTTAAGAGAAACTTTTACTTTTTTTTTTTTCTTTACCCCCTTCCCCCTTCTGTGATTTGTGGTGTCAGTCCTTTTGCTACTATGGAAGAGAGTTCTTGGGTTTACTTTTTATTCTAACACTGACAGCAGTGATTATCATGTCCTTGGAGTTGCACTGAACAGCTGTGTCCAGCAGCTGTTCTCAGCCAAGGCAGTGTAATTTTCGGTGGTTTTTTGTTTTTTTTTTTTTAATGGAATACAAAATAAAAAACAAACAGTGAGATTTTGCTTCAGCTGCTTTCAGGGGAGGAAGGGAGGTGAGAAGCCCTTCGGTTCAGGGACCAAGCCCAGGCCAGGGAGGCAGGGCGGACGCTGGGACAGGGCTCGGCTGTCTCTGGGAGAATGTTGCAGGTAGGAGGGCAGAGCCCACCTTCCACCTAGGTTCATAGGCACCACTTCAGCCCCTGGGCAAGAATTAATTGCTTTCTTCTTGCTCCCCAAGGAAGAACAGACACTTCCTCCTCAGCTTTGAACTGCGTGTTCTTTTAGTGCTGGTTTGTATTTTTTTTCATTACTAAAATGCTGCATAGGGGCAGGTGCCGAGAGGAGGCTTGTGCATCACCTGCTGCCTCTCTGGCTGCTGCTACCCTGTGCCTTGTGCTGGGCTTGTGCCTGGTTTCCTCACTTCACTCCCAGCCCCAGGGTTTAGCGGGTGAGGAAAAATGGACCAGATCACCTTGTGCTTCTCCATCCCATGCTGTGCAGCCGGGGTCCAGGCTCTGCTGGTGTGGGCAGAGCTCTCCAGCTGCCACCCTCGCCCCTGCGCAACCCGAGCGCAGGAGGGAGGTGGCTCCAGCGCAGGGGGCTGCTCTCCTCCTCTCCCCCCGTGCTGCGACTCGCTTAAAGGTGATTTCAGCCTCGTGGGCCATGCAGGGGGACCCCAGGGTGCAGGGGAGATTGAACAAGTTGACAGGCCAGAACTGTGGCAAGGAATATGTACAATCCTGGGTGGGGGCACAGAGATCTGAGTGTCTGCAGAGATTTTTTTCTTTTTCCCCTTTTTTCTTAAGATTCATTTATTTTTAACCAAGGACAGATGCAAACTGTTTGCAAGCACTGCCCTGCTAGAGTTGCTTCCAAGGCTTTCTTATTCAAAAGTTTATTTGAAATAATTAGCTTGTGAGGTCACTTATAAAGGAACTATCAGATATCGTCAGGAAAACTAAAGCCCCTCTTGACTCCAAGGTCAGCTCCTCTGCCCGCTGTTACCCACTGCTGTGGCTGTTCTCCAGCCTGGAGGCAAAAGCTGAAGGTGAGCATCTATCTCTACAAAACTCAGCACTCCACAAGAAATACCCTCTACCCTAGTAATAGGGTTTCAACCTACAGGGGTCAGTTAAGAAGCTGGTGGAGGTTGTTTTGCTGCTTTTAATGTTCATTCCGTGCAAGAAAGCATTAGTGGCTCATTCTTCAGCAGGGGTGAGCTCTGCTGCTGCCTGGGTGCTGCGGGATGCTGATGAGCAAAAGGGAACAGGATTTATGGGTCTAACATGGTTGAAATCACTGTCCAGCCTGCTTTACCGACCCTTTGAGGGAATGCTTGTGCTCTCTAGCACTGATCCTGGTGGCAGCTGCAGCCCCATCTGGTGCCCAGCAGCAGGGGAACTGTCACAACCGATACCTCAAGGGGCAGGAGCGTGCAGGGGTGGTGCCCACTGTTAATTGTCTCAGGAAAGCAATGTAAGAGCAGAAATCAAATAGAGCAAAAGAATAAAACATGGGATGCTGATGAGGGGACAGGCATCTGCTGGCATCCTCTTCTACTTATCTGTTGGGGAAAGAGAGGAGGGAGTCAGGAAAGATGGCTCCAGGACCTCCCAAAGCCAGGATGCTTTTGCCTGCGTCTCCATCACAACTTCCACCACCCTGGTGGTGCTTTGGTGCTGCTGTGGCTCTTGGGGGGGGAGTGGGGGGGGATGATACCTGTGCCTTACCCAGCCCCACGATCACACCTGGCCCTCACCTTTCTCCACACGCAGGTTGAGCATGTTACCCCCAGAGAAGATCATCTCCTCGGGCTCCGTGGTGGTGGGAGCCGTGGCATCTGTAGAGGGAGGGCAGGACGTGGGTGCTGGAGCCCTGGGGCTGCCCCATTGCCTACCCCTCTGAGGGCAGCAGGGGAGAGTCTGTACCCACCCGCTGAGCCATGGCTTTGGGGGCAAGGGGTGTTCATGGAAAACCTTGACTGCATGCCTCTGCTATCACTGCAGCTAGCCAGGGAGGGCTGTGGTTTTTAAGGTCCCCTCCAGCCTTAACATGCTGGCACAAAAGAGGGGTCAGAGATGTTCTCTACAGCGTGGACACCCTCCTTCTCTCCCTGGCTGCTCTTCTCCTCCCTAATCGCAAGCAAAATGAGAGGCAGCATCCATGCATGGCTGCTCATTTCTCTCTTCCATCCCCTCCCTGGTGACCTACCGGGGCAGTCCAGCTTTTCCCGAGTGGCAGTGCCCTCAATCCTGGTGCCATTTTTGTAGGAGCACCAGCAGTAGCCCGTGGAGGCATTGCACTGCTTGGGCAGGTAGTCGCCGTTCGCATCGCACTGTGGGCGGAAGTGACCCGGCCGGACACCCCCAGAATCGGCCTCCGCCTGGCACTTAGTTTGCACTACGGCAATAGAAACAAAGGGGAGACACTGTGAGCCCCGTGGGCCCTTCTGCCGCCCGGCAGCCTCAGCGGGAGCTTTTTATCCAGAAGCAGCTAAATTAAATATAAAAGACCAAGCCCCACCCCAGTGACCTTTCTAAAGCTCTTGGGCTAGCCAAGGACCAAGGGTTTGGTGTGGTGCTCTGGCTTTTCAGACATTTGCTCATCCTAAACGCCCTGGAGGCAGTGGGTGGTGGCTCTGTGATGTCCTAGAGGCCACCAACCAGAGGATCCCCATGGGACAAAGAGGTCCATGACCGGTCAGGGGACGGAGGGGTTGGTTGCCTTTGGGATGCCCTATGCTGGCACCTCCTGGGGGGTGGTTGCTCCTGAAGGGCCGGTCCTGCTCCTCCCCAGCTCAGCAGCCCCCATCCCTGATACCTTTCTTCGCTGGGACTGCCTTACGCTCCTCCTGCTTGGGGCTCTTGGCCATTTCAAACAGCAGCCACTTGTGCATCCAGGATTCAAAGGACTGCAACAAAGGGAAGCGGCACGTTAACCGGGACAGGGAGGAGCACCACGGGGGAGCCGTGCCGCAAGCTCCAGCCTGATCCAGGGAAGGTCACAAGCACCACCACCTCCCTCGGGGCGGAGGTAACCCAAGCCTGGCTCAAGCAGGACTTTGTTTTTCCAGGTGGGGGACGCCCCAGTCCCTCCCCAAAGGGGTGCTCCTGGAAGGGGAAGAGTAGGACTGCAGCAAGCACTGACCTTCCAGTCCTCATTGGTCATGGTCTTCTTCAGGGTCTTCAGGTTTTCCATCAGGTTGTCCTTCAGATCCGGGAACATCTTCTTGCGGTCTGCTTCCTGCAGAGTGACCACCGTGGTGAGACAGGGCAAAGAAAAATGAGGGGGGGGGGGGGGGGGAGGCGC